ATACAATGCAAAAGGTAGCCAGTGTAAAAGGGCAGAGAAAAACAGAAAGGAAAGGGCCAACAAACGAAATTGAGAACGGTTAATGGCAAAAAAACAAAACAAAAAACAAAAAAAAATAACCATGCGCATGCCCGTAATTGAAGTTTTGCTCAATTTTGTACCTAATCCTCGAAAAAGCTCTCCTTTTAGCAAAAAAAAAAAGCTTTTTTAGCACAACTTAGGTTTATTTAGCGTCATGGCAGCTAAAAAACCTGACTAAACGGTTGAAAACGGTATTTTTTGGCAAAAGTTTGGTATTCAAAGGGTTAAATCAGAGCTTTCCCAAAGTGCAATACATCTTTGTGTTTGAACCAAGAACACTGACATTTGGTAAAAGTACTAACTAAGTACCAAGGTCGGTTTTTCAAACAAATCGATTTTTGATATACCCCGTCCCTTGCTCGTTTGGAACATGGGCAATGGACACTTAATAGTAATAGTTACACAAACGGTGTATCTGAACTCTTCGATCAGCGCGGAACCCGTTTAAGGGAGGGGAGGGTCAACCTTAACTACCACAATGTCACCAAGGAAGGGTTTTTGGTATCGTCAAGAATGAAGGGTGAGAGGTTTGAAGCCCATAAGGCCTTGCTCCTGTGGTAATCCCTCTAAAGCTATTTTTAGAGATGGTACCCAGTTCTTTGGCCAATAACGTTACCACGCGCGTTGCGTGGATGTTTTTGTGCGGGATGAAAATGCGTGCAAAGCGGCTTGGGCCGTTCACGTGATCGTAAGTCAACCTCCCTGGCGGCAATGACATGTCCCATTTTAGTGTTTTCTAACTCGCTCAGTGGATGGGGAAGAAAAGTACAGCATTTAACCTGAGAAATCAAACATGTCACTTATTGCCTCGTATTCTGAGTACCAAACTGATGATTTTCTACAAGAGACATCCAATTCAACCTAGCGTGTCGTTGGTTTGAAATGTCTGTCACGCATGCAATAACCAATCAGATTGAGGTACGCTGAACGGTTTTCTGTAATCCTGAAAACGGAGGGTATTTTTTTCACGTGGGATGGATCAAAATCCAGTAATCTTCTAGTGCGTAACCGGCATCGAGGGCGGATCGAATCGAGGTCGAGTAAATGAAAAGACATTTTATGGCTCCGTCACTTTCAAACCTGTTCACCCCCCTAAACTTTCCCTAAACTTTACAATAGGTTAGCCTGCGGAGGGGCATTATCAAAGGCAATGTTATGGTACTCTTCGTTTGAATCCTGCACTTTTAAATCGGACGCAACCCCACTAGCGTGCATCGCAGACGTTCCACATACCGCTGGTAGGGTTAGATTTTCCTCTGCAACGCAGGCTAAACCCCACTGGCCACACCCCCAGATGTGCTTCCTCGTGCGAACCAAGAATGGCGGGAAGAGGCCTTGTTAGCTTTGTGGGGCAATACGTCCAATAGACGGATTCCGCCAATGCATTTACATCCTTGCTGCCATCCAATTCAGACCATGTGATGATTCGTTTGGGAGATTACAACTGTGCAATTTGCCTCACGCAACTGATTGCATGAGAGTATGTACAAACAGAACAATTGTAACCTCCCAAATAAATCATCACATGGTCTGAATTGGATGGCAGCAAGGATGTAAATGCAATAGCGGAATCCGTCTATAGTTGTCGCATTACTTCAGAAGTTTTGTTACTTTCGGATATGCATTGTTTCCCAAAACCACGACAATGGTTACAGGTACGTGTTAATTAAGGGTGCTTCTCTGGAAAATCCGAGATTAGATCTTTAAATTCAAACACGGATTTTGCGTTTTACTGAACAGATTAATCAACATACTCGGATCATGGTGCATCAACCACTCTGGCCAAGGATTCCTCAACAAAATCGGTATCCGTGTTTTTTTGGTGGGGTGGGGGCGGGGNGGGGGGAGCGGGATTAGCGGACTGGAATTGACGGAGCCATAACTGTAAAGCATAGTATACCAAGCGCTTTTATTACGAATCAATACATCCTACACAAAGCTGCCAAGTGATGCTGAATAAATTACAATACGTATAATAATAAATTATGCATCTTTAATCCAAAACACGAATATGAACGACTGAGGATGTTACAGACAAGCGAAAAGCGCATACATTGTGTAGAACTACCTCAGCTGTACAGAACCCTTTTAAAATGTGCTGTAAACTGGCTTTAAAATGTACACTCTTAGAGATACACTCAGTATAAAAAATACGTTGCTTGCGAAGACTTGGGTAACAAAAATACTATATTTTCGTGGAAATTTGGTAAAATTCGACTAGAAAACATGAAAAAACCACAAGCACGGTGTAAAAAGATTCACATAGAGGACCAAGGCTCGATAAATACACTGGAAAATTTGTTTCCATCATTTTTCACTTCAAATATCACAGGGGCTCCTCGACATTTTTTGGAATATTGCGCGGTCAACAGCAGAGGACTTGGAAACGAGTGACCTTCAATATCTTCATCATCACGTTATCATAGGGGTTGCTATGGTTACCAGAGAGCATTAGCAGCTGGAAGCAGTGATCTTCATAGCTACATGAATATCAGACTTCGCCACCAGGAAAGATAATTGTTGTCCTGATTGTCGGATCTGTTGCATGGCACTGAAAACAGAAGAAAATTGACTTCTTGACATTCATAATAAGAGACATTTTGCTTTTAGACAAACATATATTCAAGCAGAATGGACAATAAGAGCACAGGGAACCCACAAAAATACATGCATGGGCCTTTTGTAGGCAAGACAAGAAAAGAGTCCTGGGATCACTCGCGCGTTTTTCATACTTTCTCAAAATCCTTTGCAGTTGTGTTGTCCCGGCGCGAAGTCCTTAGACTAGGTCTTTGCGTCGCACTTTTTGAACTCGGGTTTGGACCGTGAAGGAGATTTTTCTCACTCCAAGCTCAGCCGCATGCCGTTGTTTGACTGCATGTTTAGCTTGTCCATCACAGTGAGACAAGATAACCTATGTGAATCGTTTACCTCTGATAATCTGCCCCAACAAGACTTGTTCCATTCACCGCGAGGATACGATCACCGAGACGGAGGCGACCATCCTACAAACAAGAAACCAGTGATGAATTCACTACTTCTCCTTATCTTTTTTGAGACAAATTCAACAGGACAGTAAACGAGAATCTAAGCCTGATCATCCCTTAAAATGATTAACATTTCACTTGACTATTTATACACGGTGACACAACTTAATAAGGCGCAGCAGTTTAGCATATTGCACAGATTGGCGTTAACAAACGCCCCGACCACAATTTGGAATTTGAAAGCGGAGCTTTATTTCTCTTATTCGTCACCAAAATGGAGCTTTTCAAAAACGCTTTTCAAACCGGAGGAAATTGAAAACGCCGCCTTTGCGTTTTCGTGTGGACAGAAACCAATTTTGAAAACGAAGCTTTCCGAAAATGATGCGGTCACTATAAACATGATATTTTCCTGCTTGAGTTTTACTCAAACGCAAATCCAAAATGGCCACGGATTGTTTAGTCTGGGAGCGCAGTCGTATTTCCGGCTGTCGCTTCAAATACGTCTGCGTTCGTAGGCTACTGATTGTTGCGTTCTAAAATTTCTCCGGCGTAGCGTAGACGCGGCCTAAATAGGCTACAGTGTTGCGGAGGCAATGCTAATCAAATGAAGGCATCAAGAAACGATGATATAGAACATCGTCTCTTGTCGTATGCAATATCAATAGATCACTCTATGCCCTGTATGTTAAATTAAACGAGAGTGTTATGGGAGTATCCTCTCAAATAGAGCAGGGAGATTAGCCGAGGGAATTTGTCTCGAATCTCTACTTACCTTCATGGCTGGACCTCCTGCCACAAGCGTCCGTACATAAATCCCTGGCGATCGTAATGGTGTGTACTATAAATGAAAACCACTGGTTTATGTCTAACGTATAAAAGGCAACAACAATATTACAATCGCACAACATCCTTGTGCCTTTAAATTCGTTTTTTTTTTCCTTTAGCGAACTCCAAGGTGCAAGTCTGATGGACCTGTATTGCTTTGTTTTAATTTGTGCTTGTCAAGCACAGCAGTTGACCCTGAAGACTCGTGCTCTGATCAATCGGTGCGAAATAAATCGTATACTTTGTCCGCAATCAGAACACCCCACAAAATGGTAATTTGAATACATTTTAGAGCGTGATTGGCACACAAATGCTAAGAAACTAGAAAAAAATCAGTTTAAAATCAAACTAAATTATAGAGCCAATCACTATCAGAGAACAAAAGCTAACGAGGATATCAAGAAAAATATCTAACTGAGGCAAGCGCGCGAAAAGACGTAACTGATCGAATATGCGAGAAAATTGCGCGATTGGGGCTAATTGCGGTAATACAATGGATCACACCCCTTCTACAAACAAGTCCTTTCACTTTGAGTTATTGAGAAGTAGCGACCTTACCAGTCCATCAATCAGTCCCAGGCCTATCCCGTCATCTCCCTTCTCCAGCTCGACAACAAACACATCATCCTGTCGGTCATCAGTCTCCCTCATGCCTTCCATCTTGGCTGGGAAGCCATTCGCACTTGCAGGTATATCTGCAATGTCAACATCGGACTCATTTCTCAAGCGACTCAAGAGTTTGGCTTTCTGTAGCGCCCTTCTCTCGTCGAACTCCTTTGAAGTCTCAATTGTCGGATCCATGGCTATCTGAAGAGCCAGCTCTTCATTCGTTTCCACGTCCTCTACAGGAAGCACGGACAAGCCGTCCACGTTGTTTACGGCGTCACGAGTCACGGCGCCTGTCACTTCAACCCACTTGGAGTTGTCCTTCGTGTAAGGCGAAGCTGCTCTCCCATTCGTCACGTTTTGGTTTTCATCTTTAGCATCGCTAGTTGATGGATCTAAGGAGCGGAAACAACAAAAGTTACCTTTACATCGTTCTTCTCTTAATGTAATGTAAGAAAAACGTAACGCAATGTTTGATCAATCCAAACAACAAATATCATAATCTCTCTGTCGGAGAGACTAGGCTGAAGGACTAGGCCGCGACTTTCGCAAACGAAGCAACATGATTCCTTATGGCGTCATGTGACGTCACAACCTCCCATAGACTCGCGACATTTTGATTGGGTGATAAGAAATGGAGCTATTGAAAGAGTCCAGGAATATTTGCTTAAAACACCACTTGGACACATTACTTGAGCTAACAAATTAAGCAGAAAGTGTTCTACCAACCTGAGGTTCTAGGCTCTTTTTTCTTCAGTGCTCTAGCAGAAACCATAGAAGAGTCCTCAGTAGACGACTTCACGGAATCACGACCCTCCGAACGATTGAACGGATAGCCGGTGGTGGCAGCAGGCTTTTGCCCGGACACCAGTCTTCCAAGGGGCCGCTTTCCGCCTTGGACAACTTCCTCGTTCGCTGACAGTTCTGAGAATTTCGGTTTGCCAGGTGGTGTTTCTTGTTTTCTTGGGGGAGTTTCTCTTCTCTCAAGTGGGATGGGTTGCCTTGTGTCATTAGATCCAATGATCCCGTTTTCTGCAAACACAAACAGCCACGCTCAACTTTAAAACCTGGAGAAACAATTTAACTAAATGTACACTGTGACACCATTTGCTTCTCGCATACTTGGCGCTAACGATTACCGACCTGCTCAGAGTCCGACAAGTCTGGACGGTATCCGGTCGTTCAGTTTAGCCCCCAAGTCGATTAGCCCCTACCCGTTTGGCCTCAATCAGAAATCGATTACCCCCAACCAGAAGTTGAAAACGTTGTCTATATCTCGTTCTTTAAGCGTGAATGGGGACCAATCGACTTCTGGTTGGGGGCTAATCGACTTGGGGGCTAAACGACTTAAACGGAAATGCTATGTTAAGGCGATAAAACCTCGCTGGCCATTTTGTGATCCCAGGAACACCTCAAAAGAAAACGCTACGATTTTTCGATTTACCAGCCTGTCACTATATCAGGTACTTGAGTGGAACAATACTGAGAAATCACGCCTGACCCGCAAAATGTGAAGTTTACATCATATAATGCCATGTTTTACCTCTTCTTGACGGAGGAGAATTGGACACGACAGTCTCGAATGTGAACTCGTTTTTGTCCTTTGTACTAGGAGTGTTGAAGTTAGGGGGGGCTGGGGAGACTACCAGATCAGGCACGTGATCTTGACTCTGTGATAATGACGACGCACGAATCACATCCGAATGGCTCACTTCCGGTTCCGGTTGCTGAACTCTGTAATAAAATAATCACGTGGTTTCTGAAGTTACGTTTTACTTGTGATAATAATTACAATATTAAAACGTAGCTTTTCGAAGACGATGACGTCACGATAATCACGTGATTTCCCTGCCCGAGTTTTCCTCAAACACAAATCCAAAATGACCGGTGATTCTTGCGTTTTCAAATTTCTCCGGCGGGTGTGGACGGAGTCCCACTGATCGATTATTGGAAGGTAATTTGTTAAAAAAAAAAAAGAGACTTCAGAATTCGTGACATACCTGTTTAAGGCCTAGTGGAAAGAGACACGAACTTCGAAACAGTAAAAAGCAAGCAAAACGTACTCCAACAACTACAACGCGGAGTGCAAACTACCTCACTCATTTACTCACTCACTCACTAACCTGTTTATTCCATTGACTCTTGTCATGTCTGATCCTGTAGTACTTTGACCTGCCAAAGAAACAAAACCTTGATTAGCTACGAAAAACGCGACGGATTTCGCTCTCTTGACAACAGGTTAGTCTTTAAAAAAAAGTCGATGTTACTCAACAGTGTTTAGTGCCAGTTGATTACCTGCATTCATTGCCCGTTTAACCTCATCCAGATAGTGGTAGAAAGACGGATCCGACGGTCCCGTCTCGAAGTCCAGTACAAATCCTTCAGTCGGTAGTTTTAACGGAGGATGTTCAGAGAAGTTTAGTAAGATGTCCGCTGCGAAAAAAAACGAAAAATATGCTGAAGATATTCATATCTTGAGTTTCAGGCCATTATAGAACTTTAGGACCATTTCTTCCTACTCTGCATGTATCGAGTCGGGTCGACAATCTGTAGAACGTTTGAGGCATAACGGCAACAGGCATAATCACCACTCAATGGGAAGATTTTTCATGGCTCTGTTCTCACGTTTAACCATGATTCCCATCTTATGACATGCAAAACTGAAAACAGGCGGGGGGTGGGGGGGAGGAGGGGGGACATTAATTCTCGTTTGATGTAACGCACACTTGGAAACTCTACCCTACCAACCAAGCGCAAAAGCAAATCTGGGACACTTGATGCGAGCTGGAATGAAGCGTTTCCCAAACCCACGGATACGAATGTCGTGCGCTAAAATAAAATTACCGGCAACTCTTTCCGCCTGGCGCGCAGGAAATCTAACCTAGCTGTAATCATAACGAAATCCCTGGTCTCACGGGCAGATCATGTTGAAGAAGACATTTCTTCCACAAAGTCAATGAAGAACACTAGATTGAACCACGCAGAATATGAAATAAAGCATCAGGGCCTAAAGTTTTGCGAGTAAAACACGGACCCTCAAAAAAGTGCTGGAATAAACGCGAAAACATCAGGAGGGACTCCGAATATCGGCGGGGTAGAAAAAAAGAGACTGTTTTTCCATCCTAATAATATACCAATTTTCGGCAAACATATGATCTTTCATACATTCATTGTTGCTAAAGATATTAGAAGAAAAGGTCCGCGTAGAATACTGATGCTCCATTGATACAACGAAACGTCGCAAGACGGATGGTAGGGCAACACAGGAAAGAACTGAACACCGTGAGAGACTCCGGTCGGCGAGAAAAGAGAGGCAACAGGTTGCCAGCACAGCTCCAGTCTCTGCAGAGTTCAGATGCCCCATCTGTCTGCGAATCTGCCGTTTAAAAATCGGACTGCTCAATCATTAACGAACTCATAAACTGAATACTACCAAGTTGACATTCTACTCGATATCGAGGGATTGCTTACTACTATATAAGCCATTGAACATCAACTACACCTGATCTGTTATCTGTTGTTTTATCTCTTAGAGACTATGACAACAAAACCTGTCTAGGACAAGGAAAGCGATAGGGTGCGTTTTTAAATGAATTATAACTTACCTGTACGAAGCGCGGGTTCCACTTCCTCAGGAGGAGGAAACCAGCCTCTTGGTCGAGACCTGCCAGGGCCGAGCTGGTATTCACCCAGAATTTGCTGCACTTGAGCCGGGTTAAGTGCCGGGAAGTCTCTTCTGATTGTCATCCAGTCAGCCTACGTAAACATTGGTAGAAATGAGCAAAAATGATTACGAATCAAAACCTCGCCTAACTGCTTCTTAGCGGCCTGAAACGCTTTGAATCCCAGAAAGGGACAAACCTGCAAAAGCTGCACTTTGGGCGTGGCCAACAAATCAGTCGCGGTGGACAGTCTGTTCAAATAGTCATTAGCCTCGTCCTGAAGTTGAACCTGCGCAGCCCAGCTCTCCAACAAATCCAGGTTACCCCGTATCTGCGCTCCTTTGGCCCAGCGGTAGAACTTGCCCCCAGCTCCCCGCTCCATCAACGTGTTGAACAGGGAAGCGTTTGTAAAGAAAAATAAATATGCAAAGAGTTGGTGGATTATGTCTTCGTGAACTGAATACGTTTTAACAACGTCGTAAGTGGTTTGGAAGATGCTGATGACGGTTTCTACTTCTTGCGGTTTCTTGTCGCTGTCTTCGTCTGTATCTTGGAATGGATTCGTGTCCAAAATGGCCGGAAGAGCGATGTACAACACCTGACAGAGAAACGGTGTGATTACCAAATGCAAATAAGCTTAATCAGAATATGAATTTGAATTTTCCCCTACCCAAATTTCGAACTGTAGCAGAAAAAAGAAAAGAGAGTTTTCTACCACCTATTAAATTTTCTGTTTTCAAGAACAAGGAAAGAATTGAAAAGAATACATAGCTTAAATTGATACAAATTGTATGTCCAGTTACGAGAAACCCCGCGAAATTCAAACTGATTTAAGTGAGCTTATTTCTTTCAATATTGCATGTGAACCAAGTTTTAAACTGCAACAATGTCTTCTTAGCGCTAGGTAAGAATTTGTACAAAATTCACTCTACAAAGAATTGCAAACATCAGAGACAAATTTAGTTACAAACGATTTAAGAGCAATTTCACAGAATAGTGTAATACCTTAGTGAGGTGGTACACAGTCTGTTGAAAAGTATAAATGATAACTTCCTCAAGAAACATGAGCAATTCCTCATCAGCATTGAGCAAAGCTTCATCACCATACTCAGCAACTTGAGAAGGATCTTTGATGAACTGAGACATGTTGACTTGGAGATAGGGAAGCATTTCCAGACAATTGGCCATCCAGAAAACTACTGGTCTCAGCTGAGGAAGAAGCTCTTCTAATGCCTTTTCTGGTACTGTTGTTCTGTTGAAACAAATATTTACCACTGTTTATCACTATTTATCAAATAGTAAACAGCACTGTCTGTTGTCTGTTGGCTTTTTCAAACCTCTTAAGGTTTTGGAGAGGTTTGAGAACACAGGTCTACTAGATCATACCAAACCCAATAAAGCTTGGACTTTTTAGAACTCGTACTCAATAAGTTACAAGATGGTACTGGGAAATAAGAATAGCTAGTTCATAATCAGTGGACAATAGATATTTATACTATTAAGGTTTGTGCAGCCTTTCCAATAAGAGGCATATATGTATAACTTGGGTTGAATAATCTTTGATACATTTTTCTTAGCCCGAAAAGTCAAATGTCTCCCCAACCCAAGCTCTAGGCGATTATGAAGCATGGAATTTCTTAATTAATGTGCATGTAAAAGGACAGACATATTATTTAAGATACATTTCCTAGTGCTCCTTTACATTGGTGGTTCAAATGCTAAAATGTAAATGCTGAAAACAACTTTTAAATCACTTATCGATTGGAAACCACAAACTTTCAATACCAATGGCAAATCATTCCTTGAACCATACCTCTCTATTGTCTTGGACATTTCTGTTGTCTTCTCCTAGAAAAAAAAAAGAGAAAATCATTTCATAAATAATATTATTAGTGCACTTACAAAGAGGGCATTTCACTGCTGGCACAGCCTTGTAAATTTGAATTAGTTCATTTGTAATAGTTTGTGTGTGGCTGGGAAAAGGACACAGTGACCCCTTATGCAAATTTTAGGACTTTCACTCTGGTGGTTACAAATGCTGTGTTTTCATATGACATGACTCAGTGTCCCTGATGGAAGCTGACTCCTTACTGAAAGTTACAATATGGTGTCTTTTGTGTAGTCAGTATTATGATTTAGCAATCCCTTTGTTAGCCTGAAAATAGAGCACTTCTTATTTCCCCTGGCTGGGAGAAATAGGAGGTGACTGTATCTCCAAGATACCTCATTATGGGGTGTGTTGAAGTACAGGTGTCAATCATTGTGCGCATAAGTGAAGTGAAATTGTTTCCTCACAAAAGAAGTCAAACTTACTGATGCTACAGTCTGGATTGCATTGGACATCTTGATGAGAAGCTGCCTTGTTTGCAGTTCCGTGTGATATTGCGCAGAATGTTCAATACACATAATTAACAAATATGCTGGAGACAACTTGTAGCCATCTCCTGCTAAATCCACAATGTTCATTATCAATTCCAGCAACTCATCCTCATCTTGTGGCAAGTACGACAACTGCAAACTATTGCTTGGCTCATCTTCAATGCCTACAACAGTTGTTGCACTATTACTGTCAGGAAAGCTCTGAAGTATTTGTGACATCTGCAACTTGTAAAATTGTTTCAAATGATTAACCCAAGTTAGCTTCATGGAACTATCTGCCACCTGAGAGGGATCTTTGAATAAGAAATAGTAATGCTTCCCAAATGAAACTAAGTCCCCTGGGGTGAGTTTAGTGGGCGACGAAACAGCTTCTCCATTTATGCAAACATCTGCACTTCTGGAAGGTTCTAAATAGACCGCAAAATTAACGTCATAGTCTTGTTCAAAGTCTGGAGCAGATGATTCGACTCTTTTACTTAAAATGCAGTGCTGAGGTAGAATGTCTGGAGCTAATAGAACAATATCAGGAGATTGGTCTGTTTCAATGTGATGCACAGGGCGACCAACCACAGCTAATTGTTCATCTAGTCTGTGGTATAAGAAGTCATCAGCATTACTACAGCCTTTAAGAAGAAGAAGATAGGGTGTGTCTGTAGGTGCAATAAATGGTGATGCAATCATTGATGCTCGTCCAGAGCTCCCTCCCTCGTCCACACCAATACTTGACAATTGCTCTTCACCTGATGACAGATGCGACACTTCACTTTGTCCTGTATCTCGTCGGTTTTCTTTGATGCTTGGAGGTACATGAGCTTCACGTACTGATGCAGCTTTCATGATTGCAACACTTCCCCTTGCTTTAAAGAATGATGAATCCTGTGTTTCAATTCGTTTCCGTAGCTCAAACCTACGAGAAAACCCTTTGATTGGCTTCCACAACTGTTGAAGCACAAGAGGTTTCTCTTTGTCACTGATCACTCTGGCATACTCTGTTATCCACTTATCAGCATCTTCCTCGGCATTACTAACACTGCCCGTCCTTTTTGTAAAGTACCCAATCACATCACAAAGCACATAATCTGATGCCTTTTCCCTGGAAAGTGAATACCTCTCAAGGGCCTGCTGAACGATTTCATCTGCAGTTGTCATCTCAGTAGCTCGAACACTTTTGTAGTTTGAACCTGGTGAAACATGATCACCAAAGACTTTAAGAATGCCAGGAGCCATCTGCTCCGTGGACAATTCAGTGTGTGTCTTTTCTTCAGTTTTCTTCTTTATTCTCAGACGGCCCAAAGATCCTTTCCTTTTGTGCTTTGCCCGAGCCATTTTGTTTGCAGCATGGGAACTCTGATCAGACTGATTTCCAGCTCCATCAAAAAACATCCCAAAAGCACTTCGTGGTGAACTGAAAAAGTTCCTCTTCTTGTCATTTTTCGATGACGATGGCATTTTGTCATTTATCGCACTGTGAACTGGTGGTGGGGTTTTCGACTTTGTAAATAGCTTGTTGCCAGGAACTGGGCTCTCATTCCTCAAGTGTGATTGCCCCGCAGAGCTGCCAGTGGAGCTGTTGTCACTACCAGCAGTGTGTGTGCTAGCCTTTGATGGACTTGGAGATGGAATGCTGGGGGTTGTAGCACGATTGCTCAAGGCTGTTCCATTAGGCAATGATGTCTTGTTTATGACACTTTCACCATTTGATATTACAGACGTCTGTGGAGAATTTTTGTAATCCAAACGCAAAACAAATCTTGGAAGCTTTTTGGCATTTAGTGCAATTTCAAGAGGGGCATCTGAAGGGTCTAAACAAATTTCATCTATAAGAGAATTGAAAAAATGAAATCAAGTCAAACTTATTAATAACCTCACATCAACTAATGCACTTCTAAATTTATATCTGCGCTTGTATTTCTAACCGACAGATGAGACCTATTGAAAAATACATGCACTTTTTTGTGACACTACAGACGTGTATTCCTTATCCCCTACAAGGAAAATATAATTCCAACTTTTACATCTGTGGATCATCCTTGTTGAATGTGTTACCATTTGAATGAAAGCTATTGAGTAACTGCTTTCATATGCCATTATGTATTCCTCATTATTCTGATAAATGAGATTAGGGATTTTTTCAGTTTTGAACTTTAGCACTTATAGGGTGAAAGGGTTAATGGCTGCAAAATTTCATGTCTCCTAAGAGCATTATGTACTTCACAGATTATAATTAGTCAAGCTTCTCAAGACACATGAAGGATGCAAGCCGTACAAATTCAAGACTCTCGCCAGAGATTAATGCTTTGCCTGCTACAGAGTAAAAATCAATACAGGAGTCATTTGTCTCAAGCTCAAGCAATGAAATTATTATTCTCCCTTCTGATTACCCGATTTTACTTGACTATACTTTCATTACTTAGGACCATTAGCTAGCAGACAATCCTCTTTGTCCTTATAAATGAACTGTCTTATTGACAATGGTGATCTATAAGCACAAATCATATGTTCAACCCTCTTGGGAAATCCTGTGTATATTGGAATTTATTGATAAAGGAATACAGCCAGGAGTTTGATGTTTGTCTTGTACATCTAACATGTTTTGTAAACAACTCTGTCATAAAAACCTATTAGTCACTTGGTAATAATATTTCATAGATGTAAGAGATCTGATGTGCAGACACCACTTCACAATGCTGTAATCCCACTACAAACAATGAGAATGAGTTTTTCATTTCACCGTTACTGCTATTATTCCTTTTTTTGCAAACAGGAAATACAAGGAGAGAAAACTAGAAACTTACTTTTGGAACTGAGCAGTTCTCTACGAGACAGTAAATTATAGACTTATTATAAATCAATTTTATCATCTCCACGTACTGATGTTCTTAAGCATGAACAAAATCCTGTAAATCTCCAGCTTATCAGTGAACTGTAAAACCTTGACCTCTGCAATTTCCCTCCAATGTGTCTTTATTGCGAAGAATTCGTAAGAGTGTTTAGAATGCGATGATCTGTACTAGAATTGAAGCTTGCGTAAGATGAGAAAAATGTACAATGCAAAGTGCACGCTCCTCAGGAAGCCAATTAAATGCTTTCGAACATTGCTATTTATTAATGGTACTCTATTAGTCGCCTCATCAAGTTTCAATTACCGTTCAATGATAGCCATTCTTAGTTCACTGACCGCACTTTTGAATAGATCTTCCGTGCTATACTGTGAATTGAAAGTTGTATGCAAAGTTTTTGAACTGGCAATTGAAAATTACCCCTTCCGTGTTCGAGTCACAGGAGTTATAATAAAGATTGTCAACGTTGCTATGTCAGGAATGGCCCACAATGTAAACACTACAAACTTTACGCAAAACAATCATTGGCATTATAAAGTTGTGGTTAAAATCGAATAAAAAAATATCAATCACGGCTGGCCGAATTAGAAGCTTCGAAATATTCGCACCTCTCCACTGCCATAAAGTAAAATATCACGTGCAAGTATTTTGATTTCTATCCTGTAAACTGGAATGTACTAAATGTAAATCTTGAAAAAATACTTGAACGAACACAACGCTTTCATAATGTTTGTTCGATATGCAGCCTAGCAATGAGCGTTGGTAGTTTTAGGTTAATTGTTACCTTCTTCATAAACTTCGTACAGTTTAGCTTTTTTCTCGACCGCAGAGTTTACCAAATCAGGCTTGAACTTTTCAATCAGCGTTGGCAACAGCTCAGAGACCAGTGTTTTGTTTGTCAGGCGCAGAGCCTTTGTCAGTTCTTCTTTGCCGTCTTCAAAGTAGAATCGTAAAGCTCCTTCGAAGCCTAAATCCTGAAAGTGAAAGAACACATCATCAATTAAGTGTTCTAAAGGCCGCGCGCGTCACATGCAAGCAATTCCGAACGCCTTTTATGTTCCAGGTCTAATACGATTTATCGGAAATGCAATTTTAGCTTCGTTCAAGCCTAACACATGCAGGCCAATGACACTTTGACTTGAATAGGATTCTTCGATGCGTAAAATGTCAACCACGGAGTGAATTAATCTCAAAAGTTACCTGATCATTACAGTAACTCGATTTTCACGGCCAGATTTTAAGTACTTATTGGTGTATATACAAGCCAGACACGAGCAAAATAGTGTGCTACACATTTACGATTATTATATATTGTTAAGATATAAGCACACATTCCTTCGCCAATATACATCGTTCGTGACAACGTTCAGCTCGCAACGCACCTCCTTCAATATCAGTCGGAATGCGCCATGTTGGTTTCCTTTATTGTAAGCCGCTATCTTAAGTCCAAGCTCTCGTTTCGTGTTCTGTAGCTCGGACTCCTCATCTTGTTCGTGGTCCTTATCGGAGCTTTGCGCCTCCTCCGCCACGATCCGCAAGTGAGCTAAAATTCTCGGATCGGAGAGAATATTCGACGATGAACGCTTCGAGAACAAACCCTGAGGCTCTTCACCCTGGATTATGTCATCCATACGCGCGATAAAGCCATTCACATGCTGCGAGTAAGAACGACGTTGAATGGTTTACGAGCTAGACTATTCAACATCTTTTTTGACTCGGAAGTTGTGTACACACCGCACAGCGGCGCGAGTTGATTGACATGCAAAAGATATTTTAGATTGCTGTTTAACAAACGCGTCGATCATTGGTTTTAAAACAATGCAACATTTATGAATTTTTCACACCATTGGCTGTATAAAGAGATCCCTTACGTACCACAACAACAGGGAGATTAAACTTGTCACAAGACACTTTGAGTACCAGCCAAATTATTCTTAACCAACGCTGGAAAAACGTTTTTAAGAGTCTTCAGATGTACGTTACTGTTTATATAAACAAATAAGGGAAAACAGTGAAGTTTTCAAGTAATGCTATAAATATTTAGTCGAATTTAGCGTAAAACCGAGGAGGTACAAAACTATGATGTAAAACGTTAATAATTTATCGAGTTTATGAAGATTCTAAAGTTCAAATCCAAATATCTAGACACTTTGTAGATATTATCTTTGGTATATATGCGATATTTTTCAAAATCTTTTAAATATAATATAAAGGACTGCCGCTACTTACATATATTGACGCGCCACAAAAATAAGAACAATTTTTCATGGTCAGCAGTGACTCCCATGGCAACTCGGCACCAAGGCAACGCGCGAGATTCTGGAAGTTCACAAAATGGCGTTCGTGGTTGTTTAGGAGTTTGCAAAACAAATTCTAGGGAATCCATTGATCGTCTGAATGAAGAAAAAATGGAAGAGACGTTTAATGAAGACCTTTGCCATGTCTAAGAGTTCATCTAGTTCGAGCTCGTCGAGTTCTTCGTCGGCTTCGGAGGCGGAAGATCGGCAAGATACAGAACCCGCCGAAGATGTGGTGTCCCGTCAGTCGCAGGAGGAGGCCGAGTTAGACTTCTGCCTTACTTTAGATTTATCTTTAAGGTTATATGTAAAGTGTAACTGTAATCTGAGTGTCCTGTTCTGCTATTTTCCTTTTACAGACGTCCCGAGAGCCCGTGGAGTATTACACACTCGAACATCGAAGTCAAATCTCAACCTGCAGTAATTACAAGGTAAAATTATGATTCTAATTGTTGCTGATAAAGTTCCATTCATAATTATATTATTATTGTTGTGGTTTGGACATTGATTTCTAAATTTTGCTAACATGTCTCATGCAAAATGATTTCAGGAATGATGCGCTTTCTTTCCTTTTGTGAGATTTGCTTTGTTTTCCGGTGATCATGAAATCTAATAGTCAAATGTAAATTCAGTAAAAGTGTAAACATATCTTCTAACAGTTCTAAAACTAACCTATTCTAAACGGTTTTCTTAGAATTCCCAAAGCCGGATCGTCTGTTTTCCTGTGAAACCAATTATCCAATTTAATTAGTACCCTTTTGTGATTATCTTGAGTTTTATTATTTGAATTATAATTTGTGTGATTTTATTCAGACCCCCAAAACCCAAGCCTGCCCCAAGAAAACCAAAGGATTCCGATGTTGCAAGTAGCTACGCTGAGGAGGTCACTGCAGGTCAGATTCGTCCCCCATGGCAGATGCTGAAGACAAATGATGCTTTACCACCCAGGGCACTGACTGTCACATCAGTTACTCAGTCCCATGATCTTCAGGTAATGGAATCCTTGTGTTGAAAGATCTGTTAATGATTCACCATTCCACTCCTATATTCAGATCTCAATTCTCCTTACTGATTACCATACATCTCTTTAAATGTTAGTTTTGAGAATTTAGCAGTATTCATAAGAAAACATCAGATCTCCTAGGTGATGGTTTTCATTATTCTTAGTATACCTGCCTGATGACAATGTTGGGAAATTAGTAAGATGGAATGATCTTAACAGGTTCTCACAGTCAGAAGAGTTATCATGGAATCTGTAGGACTGGTCCTGCCTTGCATTTTTTTCCATGTCTAAAATTCCTGATGAGTGATGGTTATCAAACTTCTCCTTGCAGTATTACTATATAATTAAATTTTGTTGAATTAAGACAGGTGGAGACTGTAATGTGAATCATTAACCAGCAACAGGATACTGTCGTTGCGAAAATGGGAAATACTAAAAAAAAATCATTTAAATTTTAATAAGTAATATTTACATGAGAAGAATTAATATTTCAAGTTTGAAAGAGTAGTAGGCTTAGAGACAAATACAAGAATTGTATAATAAATATTAAATCAAATAGGTGTATATGTTGTTTAGCTTAGCATTAGCTTCGGGCACAGGGGTGGGGTGCGCAGGATGTAAAACAAGGCTGTGGTTTGGATTGAAGTTTTTTTTAGTTTGTTTTTTCCCTGGGAAGTCAAGTTAATTAGAATTTTCAATATAAAAGATTACATGTGAAAATTGCCTTAATTTATAAATTATATAAAACTTATTTTCATGAGCAATATTTTGTAAAGTTTTCAAATTTAGAATAAATTTAAATAAATTTACCTTGCTAAATCCAAATTGTACAATGGAAAACCCATTTGTTTGTACTGACAAAAGAAAAACATTTACCCAGGATATCTGTCTGACACACTGGAATAAGGTTGTGTGACAAATGATCTATTTTCAGTTGAAAAAGCTTATGAATAAATAATCTTCATCAACACCTGCAGCCATTGTATCCTGGTTACTAAGCCTCAATCTGACTGTTTTGAATAGCAATATCAGACTTATAATAGTGGAGAGAAAAATTTGTTATTTATATCAATTAGAATGTAGAATTCACTGACAAAGCAGTAGTGAAAGTGGAAAGATCTTGTTTTTGGTCAAGTCCAGGATAAAATGTTGAAAGGAACAAGTGTGATTTCCTTGTTAAATGAAAATTTGGACAAAGATGAGGTAAAACAACAGAAGCACAGACTGTGTGTTTAGGAGGAGTATCAAAATTTGAAAATTAATGTGTACAAATTGTTACTGTTAGAAGATCTGTTACTTCCATGAGCAAAAGAAATGTGTGAAGTGGACATATATATATACTATTACATTGTTGCAATTCACCTATCATATATTTATTTTTAAGATCATTATAATCTTTCTTTCTGAATCACCTTAATTTAAACAATGTCACGTAAATCATTGATTTCTTAATTCTTAATATCTAAAAACCACACCAAGCCATGCTACTTGTACATGTAGTTACAAGTTGATAAGCCATTAATTGTTCCTTAAATCCTCAAATACTTCCTTAAATCCAAAATGTAGGGCATTTTTCAGATGAATTGCAATTTGTGGTTCTAAGGAATAAAAAAAAATACTTCTGAATATGGAAAATGACTCTACTAAACATTTAATAAATACCGGTAAAAGTAATTTGAAATTGCTGGTAGCTTTTTTTGACTTCATGTTTAGGCCTAATGATTAGGACTAAAACTTATTAGTCTTTGATTTTAGAATAATTTTGTACTTGCCGCTTTAAGTTCATGTAGGACTGATTTTACTCCATGCTGATATATATAGTACATTTAAAAAGTAAATAAATGTTACTGTAATCCTTAATATGTAAAATCTCCTTTTGGCTGAAAAATTTTAACAGCACAGCAGATGTTCCAAGAAGCTAAGTTGATTTCAATATTACACGGTATTTGTCATGTTTGTGTGGTGTGTTGTAACTTAACTTTATACTTAATTTGTAGGCTGTGATTGGATTAGAAGCAGCTCATGCCGAGGGTCAATCATCATCTGATTGGCTGGGGAGACACAGTGTGGAAGCTGGGGCTCTTTCATTTGATGAGATTATGAAATGTGGAGTCCCTGTCAAGTAAGAATTTTCATAATTTTTAATAATTTTTGATTTGTAAAGTTTACTAACAGTTTGAAAGTTAAGTGTTCCAGCAAAAGATTTTTGTTATGAGCCGACACAACTCAACAAAAACTGAGTGTTGAAAGGATACTCTTATAACTTTTCCCTTAAAAATGCCCTGGAAAGGAAAAGTGAATTTAAAATGGATTACTATTAATAACAGTTTTTCTAAGAGTCAATACCACGTGCTATGATTTTCTACTTGACATCACTGTTGTTCACGCTGGCAAAAATGATTACAGTACTTAAAATAGAATTTAAAAAAAAATAAAATTTAATTCTGGTTAAAAGCTGCATATATAAATGGAGCTTTTAACAATTAACCTTCAATTGTATAAAATCTTTTCAGCTGACCATAAAGTGTCTAAGAGTCAAAAATTATGAATTTCATGTAACATATAGGGTTAAGTCTGTATTTGAAACCAGTAGGCCATCAGGCTGATGCTTATCTCTACTTTCGGAAGCACAAAGTTGCTGTATTGAAGTCTTTGTAATTCCCTGGTGGATGGGAGTCTCAGGGTATAGTGTATGGCCCAAGAACACTAGCTCAAGACCCTGGCAAGGCTTTCAAAACCAGATTGCTCAATCTGGAGTCCTATACATGTACAAGTACACATAAACCATTCGGCCACAATTAGAGGTAAAACGTCTATATACATATGAGCCAAGTGGCTCATCAGGCCAGCGCCTACCCCGGTTTCAGTAGCATGAAGTGACCAGGAGTATTTCTGCTCCCCCCTGGATGGGATGCCAGTCCATCGCAGGGTTACCCCCCAGCATTAAATTCGCTGATACCCATTTATACACCTGGGTGGAGAGAGGCAATGTGAGAGTTAAATGTCTTGCCCAAGAACACAACACAATGTCCCTGGCCAAGGCTCGATCCAGATTACTTGCTCCAGAGTGGAGCCCACTAACCAGAAGGTCACTGCGCCTCCCACACAAAGGTCACAAAGAGTGATGGATAAATAGACAAAATGTGGTCACCATTATGGGTGATGAATGGTAAATGGACATAAGACTTTGAGAGAAGGTGAGACTAGTGTTTTTCTTTGCGAGTCTAAGACATTTTGACTTCCTCAATTTATTGTGAGACAGAGACTTCAAAGTGTTTTAAATGAGAGCTTGAGACATTCAGCTTCTAAGATGTCCAGTCATCATTTATAAGTGAAAACAAACTAATTGGTACCTCAAGATTTTTTTAACCTTGCAAAAATCAAGACTGCGAGACAGACATATAACAGCTAAAAAATATGACACTGCGAGACCTGTGAAATTTGACGAAAATTTCACAGGCAGGAATGGTCCATTAAAAACCTATGGTTTTTGATGGGCTATTCTCCACCTCTACCATCATCTATTACTTCATTATATTTTTTTGATTGTTTGTTTTTTTAGACCTCCATCTGGTGCAGATCCTGGTCAAGTTCACATGAAATATGATGCTGTTAAACTACAAGATTATGAATTTAAAATAACCAAGTAAGTCATCTTTTTACGTTATTACTTTTGAAGTAAGTATGTACAGTTACATCTGGAATATCAGCAGTACATACTCATGAGCACAGGGTAGGGTTCCCACAACGTTTTGAACTAAACAGTATTACATGGACCTGGCACCTGATTTTGCCATTATGTTATGTTTCTACGGAATTAGGTAAATTTATAGCATGCATTATGTGGCAGAGATCATGAAGAAGATGGCAGCAGGGCTACTTTTGACAACTCTGTTAACTTGTAGTTGTGGAAGTTGATTGATTGAAGTGAGTTTTGCAGAGCCCTGCTGTGAATCAACGTAAGCAGAACTGCAACCAAACAAACAAAGGTTCTGATAGATTTTTTAGTAACCTCTGACCGCTGAAATTATACCAAAGTACCTATTGTTCTACAGTTGTACCAGTAACCATGGTCAATGGGAGCCACTGGGTGCCAATGTTTAAACTGTTCTGCACAGCCATGTAATTAAATTTTGACATTTATTCTTGTATCGTTGTGTTACAGTCTTATCCAGTTATGCCAGCAGAGAATTAATTGGCTCTTACGAGGGAGTAAAAGAGTACGTTATTGATAAATTAATACTGAAAGATACTATTAAGTCCTCTGTGACTTAACTCTTGCTTGCTACAGGGGTTTCAATAAGGACTGGGTACCGGGAAAACTGGCTGGTTGTGAGGATGATTTTGTCTGCCTATTTTGACAATCTAGAGCAAGGTTTTTCTAACTTATAGTTCAAAGTGTTTTGTCTACCTGTGAACGCCTGAGTTGTCTTCCCACTGAAAAAGTTAATGAAACCCCTGAGTAGGCCATTACACATGAGATTTGTTTGTCATCTTGAACTTTGGCTAGCTCTAAATAGTCCATGAACAGGTTTCTCAATGAGGACTAGGGCAAAACAAACAGGCCATGAGTGAAGAGAGCCAGTTATTTACTACTCTTCATCTTTTTAATTTCTGAGAGCCAGACAGCTGTACTTGAATTGCAGTATAATATTATAATTGTTATTTTACTTAAATTTATACTTTTAGATACATTGTAAATTATAGCTTTTTAGTTTTTAATTTTTAACCCGAGGAAGGCCGAACGGCCGAAAAGTCATTCATTAAACTTGTCTAGAACAGTCAAGAGTTGGTCTCTTTGTCGCGTCTTTAACACTAATTTACAAATTCACGTTGAGACATTGCATCCTGTGGATCCTCTTACTGGGAGTTCATCATTAGGTAAACAAATTTTACATTATTTATATACCTACATGTAGTATTTTTAATTGCACATTCAGGCATTTGGTCTAGTGAAAGGACAGAATGTAGCCCTGTTAGTTGATGCATCAGATTCTAATTGTGGTTATGGCAGATTACAACTCTTCCAAGAGTCATTAGCGGTATGGGACTTTCTCTGTTATTTCTTTTATTAGTCATTTGTGTGTAAAGTTGTTTTCAAGACAAGTAACTTTTGAAAAAGTACTCACTTGTGGTCCTATCCTTTTATTTTCTTCCAACAAACAATACTTTGCATGACATTTTTAATCTCTCTTAAAACTTACAATTATTTCATCTGTTATGTAGAGTACTTCAATCTGTAATTTGAATGTCTTTAAAAACTGGCCTCAAAAAACTTCACTCACCCATTGAGCAAGCAAACTAGCCCCAGGCACACTACTTTCTTTGTGTGATATCATGTCGATGGCTGCCCACTCTTTGTAATAGAAACCCAATTTTTAAGTGTGGCACTATTAGTGCTAACTTAATCCGTATGTAGGTCAGGTGCTAATAACTGTGAAACTCAGAAAACGGTGAACACTTTGATTTGATTCTGACATGTCAGTTGTGTACTGACCAATCACAATAAAGTTCAGGACATGGAAGCAAACCTCAGAACTGCAAACTAATAAATTACTGTTGCTGTTTGCAGTTTCGTTTTCTCACACCTGCTATTGACTTTTTCCTTGCCTCTCAGTAATTTTCCATAAAATTATATTCTGTCTTCGTTCTTCGAGTTTTATGGTAAACACCTTTTATTAGTTAGTTTGTTTACTGTACTTGTGTGTTAACTTAAAGAAATTATCTTGAATGTTATTAGGAGCTTATAGATGAACAGTTGGTCAACAAAGACAGGCTGTTCTTAGTGTCATTTGGAACTCAACCCAAGCCATTATGGACAGTGGTCAGAGATGTCAACTGTAGGATGTATGTTGGATTATTGGTTAACAGGATGTAACTTTATTTGAATAGCACTAATTTCAGCAAAAGAGGAATATTAACTAGCCTCAGAATTGCATGCTTGTCCATTGTAAGTTTACAATTCTCCAGCATCGAGTACCTTACATGCTGAGGGTTTTTTCACATCAATGTATGTAGAGAGTCATTGAAAGAGTAAAGACCCAAGTATGTTGACATAATAAAAATAAATTAAATAATAAATAAATCACTTTATTAAGGTGTCAAAGTGCTTAGCACTACTGTACTAATTGGGGACACTGAAACAACTGGCAGGAGTCTTACCAATTGGTTGTCTACAAAGTGTGGGAGGAGTTGAATCTCACACCACCAAACACAAATCCATCTGACTAGTAGCAGGGAGGGGGATTTGAACTCTGGATTTCCAAATCACATACCAAGCATCCTTAACCACCAGGCCACACTGCCTAGCTCCAGGGAATTCTCTTTTTCAACAGCATTCTATAAATTTAAAATGTGTGTGCAACATCTTAAATAATACTCAGTTAACATTGATGTACAATTTTCTTTGCAGAGTTGAAGAGTCACATTGGTGGGCAAGGAGTCTGCATCCTCAAGGAGGGTGTAATGTGCTCTCTGCACTTAAACAGGTCATCAAGAGAAAAGAGATTGACTCCATTGTTCTGGTCTTAGGGAGCTGGTAAGAATTTGTAGCTCATTGCTTTGTAAGATGATTGGTCAAAAACATTGTCACAAGGTCAACGTTTTTCATGTGAAGGCAACAAATGGCTTAGTTGCCAACATGAGGGAATTGAATTGAAATCAGGAGATATGTCACATTCAAGCCTTGCTCACCGATTGTGAAACAAAAAAAAAAGATTCTCTTTTTAAAATTCTGAAGAAGGTCAGAAAGATATCCTGCAATGAAGTAGAGAAACATATTGGTTTAATATTTTTTTTACAGTCCTGATCAAAACCCAAAGGTGATCTGTGAGTATGTTCGTGAGTCTCTGGCAGGTAGACATGCTCCCTTACACACTGTGGCTTATGACTGCAGCATCTCTGCAACTAATGTAAGTTTTCATTTGTATTGCTTTTATTAACAGTTATGAATGGTCCTTGTTTGTTAATCTCATTGTGCAGTTCCAGAAAATATCCATACTCCCCCCACAGAAGGGATTGGAATTTCCTGGGAGATGGGGGATTCTTGAAGACCAAAAAATTTGAAGAAATGTATGAAGCTTAACTGGAATTTCTAGAAGGGTGGGGAGGTATGGATAGTTTCTGGAACTGCACATTGTCAAGTGATAGTTACAAATTCTTACTTTCCATTTTTCGGATCTACAACAAAATCTTCTTTAGAACACAAATTAATGTTTTAATTGATTTGTAACCAATGTCGCAACATTAATTAAGTTATTGTAGGTCTAAGTTTTGTTTTGTCTCAGATGTTTCTAAAGGAGCTGGCTGAGCAGACAGGAGGGAGATATCATTGTTATGTTTCTACCAGTGATGTGAGTATACAAGTGCGACAATGAAGATAAACTACATGAAAGGGCTATAATATTGTGCTTTAGGTCACTTATAATAGTCATTTTACTGTTGTTTGTTGCAGCAGTGAATACATGTGACACTTTTGGTCCAGTAACTAGAAGAATTCAAAGAAACATTTTTCCATGTTGACTCACTTGTTTATATTGTACTGATTCTGTTCAGGAGCAAATTATGACTGGAACTGATCTGAGTTTAATAGCAGAAGAAATGAAGAAGGCTCAGGAAATTTTAAAGAAGATCCAAGAGATGAAAAGTGGAGTGATTGCCATGGGTGATAAAAGAATAGCAGTTCAGACTGGTGCCAGCAGTACTATGAGCACTGTAAGTATAATGTTTCACAATTTCTTGTGATTTCTGGAAGAGAAATTCCCAGGCAATACTTATAGTAGCAGGGTAGTAGAAGAGTGGCACTCTGTAGTGCATCTTATTACCTAAGCCCAGTTTCAGCCAATCTCAGAGGTATCTCATGTCAAGAATTTCTTAATGATTTTTGCCTGGATTCTCTGGCAGTTGACACGTTTTGCTTATACGAATTCTGCCTAAAAAAGTCATTTGTTCACATCACAAAATCTAATTGGTTGAAAAGCTTAGAGCTTTGGTTGCAATTGTTCAAGAGGGCATACTGCATGTAGGTGATGGTTATGGAATTGCTAGGGAATCGTCAATATCTGATATGCTAACTATTGGCAATTGTGGTAGCTTGTTGTGGTGACCAGAATCACTGGTGAAAATCACTTCCATGCTAGTTATTTCTTCAAGCAATTTTGATCTTCATCATGTAGTGATCAAAGTGACAATTATTCAGTGGGACTTTTAATCTTGGGCAAGTTTTTGACTGTTAGTCATCCCACTTGAAACATTCTGCAAGCTGTTGATCATTGCGATAAATTCAGTATGTCCCACCTGGCCTCAACCTCCTAGTTGATCAGTCATACAATTCTCACCGTGCACCTTGTCATTTTCAAGGGTTATCCAAGTTTAGACCTAATGAAGCTTCCTCCTGAGGAGGGTGAGATACTCAAGACTGACAGCTCCCCCCTGGTGGTTGAGCACCCTTCATTTCCTGCTAGGACATCAGCTGAGTGGCTGAAACAACATGGACTAAAAGGTACCATTTATAATGATTGTTAAATGTCTAAATGTGCTTATCAGATTACACAAGTTCCTTTCTAGACACTTGAATACTTGAAACTTTTTAGTTAATTTCCTATTTTCAGTCTAAACAATAATCATTTTTGTGCGTTAAAAAAAGTAACTGGACCTATATACATTGTATTTATATAAATCATCCTTCCTGATGGCAGTATTTTAATTTAAATTAATGTATTTAGTCTTAGATATCTCTAAAGGTAGTGCTTTACATAAACAGCTTCCCTGGGCTTCCTTGACTCATAGATTTGATATTTGTATTGTTATTTTATTTTAATGTGTGGCAAAATAATAACGGAAACTGAAACTACACTTTTGTCCCCTCCATTTGAGCCTGAAACAGTGAAACAGAGCTATGCTTTTTGACTTGAGGTGATATTGTTAAGACTGTTTGGGACAAAGTGTTTGGCCAGGGCNAGGTCACTTATAATAGTCATTTTACTGTTGTTTGTTGCAGCAGTGAATACATGTGACACTTTTGGTCCAGTAACTAGAAGAATTCAAAGAAACATTTTTCCATGTTGACTCACTTGTTTATATTGTACTGATTCTGTTCAGGAGCAAATTATGACTGGAACTGATCTGAGTTTAATAGCAGAAGAAATGAAGAAGGCTCAGGAAATTTTAAAGAAGATCCAAGAGATGAAAAGTGGAGTGATTGCCATGGGTGATAAAAGAATAGCAGTTCAGACTGGTGCCAGCAGTACTATGAGCACTGTAAGTATAATGTTTCACAATTTCTTGTGATTTCTGGAAGAGAAATTCCCAGGCAATACTTATAGTAGCAGGGTAGTAGAAGAGTGGCACTCTGTAGTGCATCTTATTACCTAAGCCCAGTTTCAGCCAATCTCAGAGGTATCTCATGTCAAGAATTTCTTAATGATTTTTGCCTGGATTCTCTGGCAGTTGACACGTTTTGCTTATACGAATTCTGCCTAAAAAAGTCATTTGTTTGCATCACAAAATCTAATTGGTTGAAAAGCTTAGAGCTTTGGTTGCAATTGTTCAAGAGGGCACACTGCATGTAGGTGATGGCTATGGAATTGCTAGGGAATCGTCAATATCTGATGTGCTAACTATTGGCAATTGTGGTAGCTTGTTGTGGTGACCAGAATCACTGGTGAAAATCACTTCCGTGTGAGTTATTTCTTCCAGCAATTTTGATCTTCATCATTTAGTGATCAAAGTGACAAATATTTGGCAGGACCTTCAATCTTGGGCATGTTTTTGACTGTTAGCCATCCCACTTAAAACGTTCTGCAAGCTGTTGACCATTGCGATAAATTCAGTATGTCCCACCTGACGTCAACCTCCTAGTTGATCAGTCATACAGTTCTCACCACGCACCTTGTCATTTTCAAGGGTTATCCAAGTTTAGACCTAATGAAGCTACCCCCTGAGGAGGGTGAGATACTCAAGACCGACAGCTCCCCCCTGGTGGTTGAGCACCCTTCTTTTCCTGCTAGGACATCAGCTGAGTGGCTGAAACAACACGGACTAAAAGGTACCATGTATAATGATTGTTAAATGTTTAAATGTGCTTATCAGATTACACAAGTTCCTTTCCAGACACTTGAATGCTTGAAACTTTTTAGTTAATTTCCTATTTTCAGTCTAAACAATAATCATTTTTGTGTGTTAAAAAAGTACAAACTGGATCTATATACATTTTATTTATATAAATCATCCCTCCTGATGGCAGTATTTTAATTTACATTAATGTATTTAGTCTTAGATATCTCTAAAGGTAGTGCTTTACATAAGCAGCTTCCCTGGGCTTCCTTGACTCATAGATTTGATATTTATAATGTTATTTTATTTTATTGTGTGGCAAAATAATAACTGAAACTGAAACTACACTTCTGTCCCCTCCATTTGAGCCTCAAACAGTGAAACAGCACTATGCGTTTTGGCTTGAGGTGATATTGTTAAGACTATTTGGGACAAAGTGTTTGGCCAGGGTAGAATCCTGTATAAAATTAAGTTATGATTAAACTTTTTTTTTTTACTTTTTTTTCTCTACAGCAAAGGGACTGAACCTTTATCAAGTGTTAGCCCCAAATTCANCACCCTTCATTTCCTGCTAGGACATCAGCTGAGTGGCTGAAACAACATGGACTAAAAGGTACCATTTATAATGATTGTTAAATGTCTAAATGTGCTTATCAGATTACACAAGTTCCTTTCTAGACACTTGAATACTTGAAACTTTTTAGTTAATTTCCTATTTTCAGTCTAAACAATAATCATTTTTGTGCGTTAAAAAAAGTAACTGGACCTATATACATTGTATTTATATAAATCATCCTTCCTGATGGCAGTATTTTAATTTAAATTAATGTATTTAGTCTTAGATATCTCTAAAGGTAGTGCTTTACATAAACAGCTTCCCTGGGCTTCCTTGACTCATAGATTTGATATTTGTATTGTTATTTTATTTTAATGTGTGGCAAAATAATAACGGAAACTGAAACTACACTTTTGTCCCCTCCATTTGAGCCTGAAACAGTGAAACAGAGCTATGCTTTTTGACTTGAGGTGATATTGTTAAGACTGTTTGGGACAAAGTGTTTGGCCAGGGCAGAATCCTGTATAAAATTAAGTTATGATTAAACTTTTTTTTTTTTACTTTTTTTTCTCTACAGCAAAGGGACTGAACCTTTATCAAGTGTTAGCCCCTAATTCATTCTCCTATGTTGATGGATACATTTCTGCCATCAACAGAAATGTGCACTCGCTGGTTCATGAGAGGGTAAGAAAGCTAACAAAAACGGTCAGAAACCATTCCCTCTGATTACCTTTTTGCTAAATAAAGGATTCTCCAAAAGAGAAATAGGAATACGGTCCGTGGGTCATTCGTCCATTCAATTTTCGTCTAAAATCAAAAATTGAAAATTGATTTCAAATTTTGATTTTCATGATTTCTTATTGTAAAAAATAAGAAAGTGCCAAATTGAAAATATTTGACTTTTTTCCTTTTGGTAGAACATTGAAACAGAACTTATATTTTGACTTTAATCCTGTCAACAATGAAGAGAAAAATGGAACTGAACGGCTATTTTGTTTCTCCGACAATGTTGCAGTCTGTTGCATGGCTTAGTTTTTCTGTTTNACTTTTTATGATAAAAAAATCATGAAAATCAAAAATTGAAATCAATTTTAAATTTTTGATTTTAAACGAAAATTGAATGGACGAATGACCCACGGACCAAATACCCCATTCTTACAAGTATTTTGATGCACTGTAATTGTTGTATTTTGTGGTAAAATGCAAAGGATGTTGAAAAGAAGGCCATGAAGAGTTAAATAAATGCAGTCTTACGGGTGCCTGTTCCTAATATCTTTGTTTTCATTTCAGAGTATGGCTCAGTTCAAGTGGCATGACGGTTCTGTAAAGAATGTCCATGTAGATCCAACAATACTCTTTGACTATCAGGTCTGTCCATATTCTCTTTACAAGTCTGCAAGCATATTGCTCTATTTGGTTCAGGATTAACAATGGTCAACAGTGATATATGACAGGGACTAGCGTAATTTTATCATGACCTAGTAAGAGAACAGTGTGCATGTGTGAGGGGAAGGAGAAAGGCTGAAATTCCACTTATACTATGCAATGTTGTGGCTGATTCCAGCCATATAAGGCACACTGGCCTGTGGTTAAATTAATGCAAGGGACTTTGGATCAAGCAATCTACATGTATTATCAAGCTCTGTCCTAGCCATTATGTTCAGCTCTTGAGTGAGACATGTTACTCTACCATTCTATACACTCCCTCAAGTGTATAGAATGGTAATGGAAAATTAAATTCTGGCAGAGGTTATCCTGGGAAAGTCTTTAGAAGTGTAAGCATCCCTTCCAATAGGGGTTTTAAACTCGCACTAGTCAGTTCAGGCGGCAAGAACTGCAGATAAACGACAGCCGGAAGGGTCATTAGGTTCAAATGTAAGGTATGGTTGCTGACAGAATCCTGCTTCGCGCCCTTTTGGATTTCAACCCGTTGCCCCACTTTGCATTGGCTGGCTTATACAGAAATCAGCAGTGTTCCTTCTATGTTACAAGCCTTTTTTGTGAAAATAAGTAAATTAGTAAAATGTCTAAATGAATTGCCACTCTTTTTGCTCTACCTCTTTTAGACTTCCTACCACCTTTCCAAAATATTGAATGGTCCATATTATAGTCGTTTTTAAAGAAATGCTTACTAATTTGTGTAATTTTATACCCTGTTTTAACAGCGTCACTTAGAATCTGCTGTTCATTTGTACAAGCGACGTGTTGACTGGCTGTCTATTGGCTGTAGACGGATATTTGGCACAATTGTGGAAAAGAGGTGACTTAAGTCTCTTCTTACACCATGTAACTCCATTTAGCTAAGAAATATTCAAACTTTCTTGTAGGAAATTAACTTTTGAAGGCTACACCAGTCTTGTGGAGTGCTCCTTATTTTACTCATATACATTGCCTTAAATCGCCACCATAACCCACAACTAGCTCCCATTTGACCCTGTAGCTCAGTTTGTTAGACAATGGTCATCAACTTTGCCTTGGTTGGTCCCCTAGCTATTATTACTTTGGCCAGTCCTATTTTTAATAGCTGCAGTCTTTTACTGCTAAGTCTAAAGTTCAGAAGGAAATTTACTTTATTTTTAACAATATTAGAGTTACCACAAAAAGAATTCTCCGACTTCAGCTTACTCCCAGTAAGTTCTTGTGGGAGACATGCAACAGTGTCTTCAGCACCAGATTCGTGATGATTTTGATGGGGCCTACTGATAGAGTCCTACTTTTCGAGCAAGTCCTTGTAAATCCTTCCACACACAAACTTGAGTTGGCAAAGACAGCTCTGTCGGCTTGTTAAGAATTTGATGTGTTTCTCTGCCTTAGGGTGATTGTGTTGTTGGACATGTCAATATGCATGTCAGCAGCTGTTCCCAAACTGCAAGAAGATCTCAGACTTTTACTTGAACAGCAAATGGCTAACAAGACTTCCTACAACTTTATCTGGTAAATGTTTGCTGTTACCATATTAAGTAAATGTTATATCTTACATTCAGTGCAAACTGTGTATAATTTTATATTTCTTTAAAAAGGAACAAACACTTCTGTGTCTCTTTGGTATGTGATAGGTATTTAGAAAATAGCGCTAAAAAGGTGTACGCACTGATTGGTTAAAAATCGTGTTTCTATTTAACAATTAGATTATTCGCTTGAGATTTCAAGCCCGAGTCAACTATCGCGCATAGAAATCGAGAGCGAATAATCTAATTGTGTTAGTATAAATCTACTGTTCTTTTCAAAATTTATCTAAAATTTAAAAGTCTGTGTTCTCTAAGATGTTATTTCTTGTTTTGGGGGACATTTGTGACAAAGAAGTAAAGTTTTCAAATGACCTGGAATTTAAATTTCCCACATGTCAGAGGGACCATAACCTCGTCGGACCTTGGTCAAAGGTCTAGGTCTTTGAAATTTGGTTTCTCTTCTCGTGTATATCAAGGTCAGCATTTTAGCTTTACTGGTAACATTTTATTATATATTGTGTTTGCAGTTTTGGGGGTGCTACAGAGATGTTTCGTCCTGTCATGGTGGAACCTTCTCCAGAGTATCTTGAGGCTACGTGGAAGTACGTTTTTCTCATGTTGTTTGCAATCTTGTCTGAGATTATTGACTAGTGCAGCTGTAGATTTGGCACGAATTTTACGAAAAAGACACTATGATTGCAAGCTACTATAACAACTTAGGAGGGGAGACAAGTCTAAAGTATTGCTGCTTCGGGCGAGCAGCAGAGTTATCCATTTAACCAGTTATCTTTTGTAGATTGAAAGGATGTTAGGCAGAAAATCTACATAATAAAAGTTGGTCAGGGAACAAATGCCGGGAGAAAAATGTAGTGTAGTTACATATAGCGTGACGAATGTCGGTTGACTCTGGTGTAGTTAGTAACAAGTGTGATTTCTATTGCTTTCTACCTTCCCTGTCAATCATAGTGCCTCGTGTTCGTTATCTTGCTGCAGACCGAAATCCTTTCTGTAAACAACAACAACATTGTTTTTGTTTCATAACTACATTACTAGCAAAAAATTTCGGACGTTAAAATATCGGACGTTAAAATTTCGGATGTTTTGTTTCGGACGTTTCATTTTCGGGCACTTTTTAACTCAGTTCGGACAAATTTCGGACAAAACTTTTGGACACTGCGTAAACATAGCTAACGTATATTTACGCGTAAAAAACACGAATTAGGCTAAAACAACGGCTTTGGTAAATGATAGTTTAACTGCTCCCTCAAGGTTTTGCATAAACGCCGACGAGAAAATGGCACAAATTCTATCAAGCCGTTACGTATCTCAATCAGTGTCTCAGCTAGAGTTCCTTCCAAGAAAGAAACTAAGAGCTTTGGGGCTACTTAAAGTTTATTACTAAACTGTAAATATTTCGGACTCTTAAAATTTCCAACGCTTAAAAATTTCGGACGGTCTTATTTTCGGACACTCTTTTCGTCCGAAATTGAAATCGTCGGAAATTTTTTGCAAGTGATCTATTAGCCGACTGTCCCTGCAGAGAACCTACAATTTGGGGACACCTAACATTGGTTTGGTTCAACTGATGTTTGATGCCCTTGATCTGTAGGTGGCTTCTTCGCAGAGGATGTACAGGAAGTAGGAATTTTTTAGATGCGTTTAGGAAAGCCGTGGAAAATGAAGAGGAGAAGGCTCATGGTATTGGTAAGTAAGAACTAACCTTGCTGAAAACTGGTTAAGGGCATGTCATTTTCAAAGTACATTAGTTTGTGTTGGGGCCTTTCAATGGACTCTACATCAAGTACTTACCTGAGTTGAAGGGCTGGCTGGCAAGACACTTAACTCTCACACTCTGTGCCTCTCTCTGTGCCAGAATGCAATAGGTTCTAGTAATCTGTTAGGAAAATCTGACAAAATGTCGGGGTAATCTGTGGGAGGTGGGGGGTAATAATTCTCTTGGTCGCTTCGTGCTACAGGAATCAGGGCAAACTCAGACAGTCGGCAACAGTGCCTGAGTGAAGCTTTATTATTTAAGCATTCTTAGCTACATGTATTGACCTTATTTACTTTACTCTCATATTTACTTTCATGCAGAAGTGGAAGGGATTTATGTCATAACAAGTGGAGTACCCGATGAGCCAAAGGTAACAAAATTTATACAATCATAGTAAATGGTTTGAACCAAGGAGTGTCAGTAGTTCGTATAGTGTGATCGTCCGGGTGAGGGTAGTTCTGAAAAGAACTGTTGTTGGTGACTGACGTTCCGTCATGGATAAGTCGTTTGTTTGTCGCCTTACAAACGACTTCTCCATGACGGAAACGAAACGGACAAACGGACTTCCAACAGACCGACTTAATTTGACTAACAATAGACGGACTAAACTTTCACTAACAATAGACGGATCGAAACCCACCAATGACCGATGACAAACTTTACACGAGTCTTTCAGCCAATACCATCATGGCTAAACTGACCAATNCTTATAACATCATCGACTGACAAAAACTATTCACTTGACTCTGAAGATGACTTCCGCTCAGGTTGTCGAAACGTCAGTCACCAACAATAGTTCTTTTCGGAACTACCCTCACCCGGACGATCACACTATACGAAAATTTATACAATGGAATATAAGAAAAAGGAAATATTTTCAGTGTTGATCTCGAATCATTGAAACACGGGTGGAAGTTTGGGAGAACGGAAAATGCTATGGGAACAAGAGCTGACGTTCAGTACTTCACACCTGTTTTCTATAACTCGATACAAACACGGAGAGAATTGTTTTCTATCTCTTTTGGAAACCAAAAGAAAAACTGAAGGAAAAAAAAAGAAAACAATTACTCGTTTATTCAGTTATCAAAATCGTAACCCTCTTTGCTTCCGCCATCATTAAGTCAATAGCTCGTACTTGTGCTATGTTTCTGACGAGAAGTAGGGTTTCAGGCGCAGTTCTTACGAGTTTTTTTCGTATTGTATTTGTGACATTGTTTACGTTTTTCGTCACTGAAAATCTAAGTAATTTTCAAGATTTTCTCATCTGATCGCTATCAATGACTTTTCTATCTCAAGCATTTACCGATGTTTAGAATCTCAAAGTATTTTTTTGTAGCTTATGTTCCATGCTTGTCAATTTACAGATTGATTTACAATACCTGTTATTTTCATTTTCGTTGACAGGAAGTAGTCTGTGGATTCCTAAGTGAAGCGTTGGCTGGTAGCCACACGGCAGTCCACACAATTTTCTACGAAGTTGATGACGAGGATGGCTTGATAGCTATACCAGGAAAATATGCCGACCGAGGACAGACAGCTGAATGCTTAAAACAGATGGCTCGTGCTGTTAATGGACGCTTTCACTGGTATAGAAGTGGAGGTATATTTAATAATCCTCATTTATGTATCTGTAGAATTGTATTTTTATAGAAAATCTCACCACTCTGGAAACAAATACAAGTTGATGGCGAATTCTAATCTCCAGAAGCAGAATGAGCAACAGTGTTTGCTTAGGACGTTGTTAACCAACTGATCTCGGCTATGATGACGTGACAAATTTCGGATTACTCAAATTTCGGATTACTCCCAAGTACCTGAGTTATTCTTTGATTGGATGACAAAACTTTGACACTTCATAATTCTTTGAGAAACAATTGCTTGAAGTAGCACTTGTCCCTCTCCGAACTGTCACCTTCTGATTGGCTCATGATATGAGGTATTAGGTGCAGTCTTGGGACTCGATCGGACACCCTGGAGATGGCATTCACAGTCGCATTCACAGACAAAAGACTTCACCATTGCACAGCCCGTGAGACTCGTGGTCAATTTATTACCCGACTGAAAGTTTAGCAAAAATCCCCTTATTCTGCTGGCAATTGCTTTTTTAAGAAATTTCTTTTTCAAATCTTTTTTCTCTTTGAAGGCTGTGCTGTCTTAGGTGACCATGTTTTGAAAAATCTTAATTCACAACAAATACGTAAGTTGACAAGAGCAGAGCCGGAAAAATGGAAAGTTCTTATCGTTGATCAACTTCCATGCCAGTTTTCCACCCAACTTTGTTCGTCAAGAATTATTGAGGACACAGTAAGATTTCCTTGAAAAAGTAGAACTGCAAGCGTATCATAAGTTGTTGCAGACCGTGTCCTTGGTTTGCTATTTGAGATGCAGTGGTTTTAAGACACTGTTGACTTGTAAATTGTTTTTGTTTACAGCCATAGTAGAGAGTGATGATCTGAGGGCTGTCATAAATGAAATGGATAAAGCTTTCAATTACTCTCAGAAAGTAAGTTTTTCTCTTGTCCTGTTTAACGCAGCTTAACTGCGTGCTTTGGTGATTATTATAACTGTATGACATCAGTGGTGGATCCAGGGTTTATCAAAGGGAACGGGGTGATTGGTCAGAGTAATTACTTTTAGTTTGGTTTTATCACCCTCAATGTTAAACCGCTCTATGGTAACTGATATTCATAACTTGCATTTCGCTACAGACGGCCATTCTGTTGGAAACAGTTAGGAAGAGAAAGCCAGTGGCTCAAGTGGTATGTGCAGCAAGCTTTGTTTTGGATTTAATACCCCTGTTTTATGATGACTGAATACTCTTGTACATGTAAACCCCTGCTTGAATCCAGCCAGATTGAATTAGGTTCATGCCCAGAATGGATTGGCTGGTGATTTTAGAGTGATGCATCCACTCAATACTTTTTCTGGTGCAAAAAGTATCATCGTTGTTTGTCTTAATTGTTTTTGTCTGTTTGCATTTCTTGCTACATGTAGATAAATGACTCAACTGATGGTCAAAGTCAACAACTGGTACCCAGGCCACCGTCTGCTAACAAGTCCCGATTACCGCTGACCCCACCAAGACATACAGCACTCACTAAAGCCCGAATGGTATTTAGTTATTTAAGCTTCTATCCTTTAGCCTGGTGACGAAAAAAAATTAAAAGAATACGAGGTCATTATTTAAAGCTGGTCATAATTAGCCATTCCAAAGTTTAAATGGACCAAATTTGCCGATTTAATGAAGCCGGCGAAAAGAAAAATCATGGGTTTGAGGTTGGCTCTCAGTTTTGTGTTATTTTTCTCTTGGCGTATGAAAATATTCTGTTAACAGTATAAAAGCAAAACGTAAAATTGTGACCCGCTTTCCAACTAAGTGTTGTAAATTTTAAACAATTAGTTAGCTCTAGGTAAAGTCGTCGGTAAATTGCTACCTACAAAAACTTGAGTAATATCATCGAGCAATAAAGAATACTGAAGATAGTAAAAAAAGAACTGAGACATTCAAGTTTTTTTTTTTTTTGAGTTTTATTAAAATTTAATTTTTAAACGTTTAACAATTTAGTTTGTTTGTATTTATTTGTTTAGAAAAAGGGTGGCTGCGCTCTGCCTCCAATTAAAGCTGCAACTGAAGATTCTGTAAGAACGAAATTTTTAAAACTTAAAGAAATCTTCCCTTTCTTCTGTTTTCACCTTGTTTGTGTTAAAAACACTGAGGTCTTTGTTCCATTCCGTCACAATCATTGTTGGCTTCTGCTAATGGTTAAACTGACTTTTTAGGCTTAACAAATCTTCTGTAAAGTGTTGTTGTAAACGTTCGCCGATCTTTCATTTAGAGCTTAGTAGTGTTGAACAAAATATGTGACTGTAGTAGAAGAATTTCAATAATAATTTCGTAAAATACTAACTTGAAAGGAAACCTAAACTTTGATACAATGCGAAACAAACTAGATAACAGTAGAAATCACGCTACAAGAATCAACATTATTTGAAGACTAACTAGTAATGCTAAATTCAACTAACTTTTGCGTCATCTTAAAGCATTTGTGTTAAATGCTCTTTCGATCATCTGTAAAATATATGTATACCTTAAGGCTAATACTATCACATCAAGTCAAGTAATTGCAATTGAAGAAGCCTGAAAAAAATGTAGCGGTATTTTAGCCTTCTTCGAAGGCAATTTCTTGCATTGTAAACTACTGTAAGAATCATTTGTTCACTTAACATTCTATCCGCAGCTCCTATGAGACTTCGTTTTTATTCGCCGCTTGTAATTCTTATCACAAAACTTACAGTATCATTTTCATTGACTTTCTATTAGAGCACAATTACCACGTCTTTAAATCTGTGACAGATTGATTAGATTGGATTAAAGATACAGGTTATCGATGGAGAGTGCGTGAAAAGTGAAGGCACCGCACACCTAATGGTCCAAAAAGATTAATCGTCTGTCTGTCTTCTATTTCTGTTTCTAGAATGTTCGCCCTCAGACTGCAGGCTCTAGCCGGCCCAGTTCCTCAACAAGTAGTAAGAAGGCCAGGCCACACAGTGCATCCTCTCAGACCAAGGAATCAACGTTAAAGGCGTTGCAATGGAAACCACCCTCATCAAATAGTACCACCTCCCTTATACCTGCACGTGAGTTGAACCTTCTCTCTGGACAGATACACGAGTTGCCTAGAAGCGTTCGGAGAACGTGAAAATAAGGAACAACAGTTTTAGAGGGGAAATTTCATGTGCATTTTCTGAGCAGGTTGATATACGGGTTTTCATTGTTTGGCGAAGTTGCGGCTAACTTTAGAGAGGAGCAACCCTATATGGCATGGGTGTTTTCCTCACCTCAAGCGCGCTTGGGGGCGGGTGTTTAAAATAAGAAGTGGGGCTAGGTGGGTATCACTTTCTCACAAGCATTCTTTACAAAGTGCAGTAAAAATCTTGACTCGTTGGTTATGTACACTTCACAATGTTAAATCAAGTTTAACTTGGTAAAAGATTTTTCCTTTCACCTGTCCACAGCTCCTCCTTCCAAAACGGTTGTCAAGGAGAGAAGACCTTCGTCAGGTGGTGTCAGACCGGTTCAGCAGGTTTTCTATACCGAGTGGAAGAATGAAACAGGTTGGTTTGAGGCTGAAACTGAAGTAATTATTTGTGTTCTCAATAAACTGAAAGTTTGTATTGATATGATCTAGTTAATCTAGTGTGTCTCTCTCGGCTTGGCTTCACGAACGAAGTTTTAATAATGGGGTGGACCACATCTGCTGTAGACATGCTCGTGGCTGACAAAGCCCCTGAGGGAAAGGCATGCCCTGCCACAGCAGTTGCAGCGGAAGGTTGCAGCAGACGTTTCAGTGTCCTTTTTGTTGCAATTGAAAACGATACTTCGCTCAGTTTTGAAGTTGTTTTAAGAATGTCGAGCAGAAAAATCTGAGGCTCCCAGTGGCTTCGTAGATGAGTTTGGGTAGCATTCCGCTGGACTGTTGCAGTTTGATATTTGTCATATCTCTACTGTGTGTCTGACGAGTACATAGCAGATGATTTATTTCATATATACATTATGACAATGTGTTTGGTTTTTGTACAGGTGCAGTTTACAGTCAGTATCCAACGAAAAAGAAATCAAGAAGACCAATCAAGCACCCGTTTATTCCTGACAAAGAGGAGAACGTTACCACCAGAGAGGTAACAATTAGCTTTTGTTTGCTATAATAGACCCTATTTCTTTTCTAAGTCTTAAAATTAGCCCAGCTAACCTCGTTTTTGAGTTGATAATTCAAAAGAATTTTTACTTTTTTACTATGTTCGCTATTTTTTTGTGGCACATCTCTTAAAAGAGTTTCTCAACGTTTTGTTTTCATAAAAGCATTCTATGATCCATGACAGTTTTCGTGAACTCAGGTATTTGTACTGTTTCAATATTGAAGAACAGAATTTTCCAGCATACGTGTCGCCACGTGTGACTGCAAATAGCCCTTCTTTTTTTGTCCTGTCAAATGCGAGACAACAAAACAAATCAAGATGCGGGGTAGGCCGAGGAAGGTGTCAGCTAGCCCTAAGAGCTTCGGTCCTAGCATCCTTGATCGTCATGGTCATGCGTTCAGTTGTTGTAAGTTTATTTACGTAGTTCATGACTTGCTTTGTTGCAATTTCGTTTTATGTTGCAGTGGATGCGTCACTACAGTCTTTCAAAAGTGAAGTTAGACCTCAATAACATTGTGGGATCTGCAGAATGTTCGCACGCTAAAGGCAAAGTATCATCTCTCGGACAGGCAGTACCTGCAAGGTAAACAAATCCAGAATGACAGCAGGAAGTGTGTTTTTATTATTATTATTATTATTTGAATGTGGAATCAAAGGAGTGCAGTAAAACGTTCTGTAATGTCTCTGAAATTTAATATGGCAAAACGCAAACAAGTTTTTTTTAGTGCTTTGGGTCCGGAAACCGAGGAATAGATATTGAATTAGCGAAAAACAAAACTCGCTTTGACTTGCAGCTTTCACAAGGTGATTCGGACGCTCGCATTTAGAAGTCGTGAAAAATTCGTCAATTCATTTTTATTTCAAAATTCTTGTGTATCATTTGTTAGCCAGCTCTATAAGCTTTAATTTGATATCGGGGTTTAGGTATCAACAGTTTAAACCGGACGCCCTACATCGCTTCTACGTCAGACTGTTTTTACTTTACATAAAAAAGATCAAAGATCGTGTATAACTCACCTTTGCAATCTCATCGTTGGGAAGACGGCTTTTTCAAGAAATCTTCTCGTCGACGCGCAGTCGGCATCAGGCTGATAGCTTGTGCGACCTACGACGTAATAGCTAGTGCGCATGCTCAGTATGCGCACGCGGCAAATCCCGAAGTCATCGTCGAACGGTCCTCAGATCTAAAGGTCTCTTCTGTTGTGTTGCACGTTACTACTGTTGAGTTCAATATTACTAGTCTTCATTTTGTTTTGCTCGTCTGTTTCAGGTACTGCAACATTTTTCCAAGTGTAGAAGTAAAGGTAAGTTCTAAAGTTGTATTTTTCGTTATTGACATTGAACTTTCATCGTTTCACTACCTTTTGTCAAGTGTTTTTGTTTTCGCTCAACTTTGCAAGGGCATCACATATTTGAGAATTTAGAAGTACATGACTTAATGTTGCGCTGTTACCTATAGCTAAACAGGGTGAGTAAATTAGCGCTCTTAAGAGATAATTGAGGGCGGAGAGAGTTGCATGGAGCGTGGGGTTTGAATGTATGGAGAGGATTCCACCTAAGCAGAAGGGATTTGTTCTTACCAGCCTAATGAGCTTATGGCGATGTAATTTTACGGTAGTAAGTCAGGAGTTAACTGGNAGAAGTACATGACTTAATGTTGCGCTGTTAACTATAGCTAAACAGGGTGGGTAAATTAGCGCTCTTAAGAGATAATTGAGGGCGGAAAGAGTGGCATGGGACGTGGGGTTTGAATGTATGGAGAGGATTCCACCTAAGCAGAAACGATTTGTTCTTACCAGCCTAATGAGCTTATGGCGATGTAATTTTACGGTAGTAAGTCAGGAGTCAACTGGTGATATGATCATTTCAGGGAGTTGTGAAACATCTTCATTTGCTGCCACATGAATTAGAAGATTACGAGGAACAAGTGGAGAAGGTGCTACGAAGATACGTGAAAAGACTGCAGTGGCTGTTGAGTGGTAAGAATGACTGGCTTTCTTTCTCATCCATTGATCGTTCGAGTAACTGACTTGACTTTAATTGATTAATGGTTGCCTTGAAAGTCATTAACCGATCACAACTCAAGCGGTTGCCTTTAACGATCCCAGGTTTCCTCAGTAGTGCCTAAGCTAGTGTCCCGTTCCCTTGAAGTTCTTGGATTGGTCATCTGATATATTAATTATGGAGTGTGACAAACCCACTTCGTTGTATGGTAAAGAAACCGTAAAGGTTTGGAAAAGCCAGACTTTTCCTTAGCCCTAAAATCTAATGCCAGTGTCTGTAGCATGAAGGACAATTCTATCCCCCCACCCCTATTTTTTCTTAGTGGTTGTGCTCTTGCATCTAATTCTACTCGTTATCTTTATTTTCTTTTATTAGGTAGCAGACGAGTATTTGGCACGATAGTCGAGAAAAATGTGAGTGCTCAGCTGAATAAACGAACGAATTTGCTTCTTGGAAAAAACGGCCTATAGACGGACAAGGCAGCGAATTTCATCCCTACTCTACTTACTTACACTTACACTACTCACNATAAAGTTAGCAAATGCAAGTTGAAGAAATATTTATTTGGGAGTAAAACGGAAGAAAGCGTCACGCTCGATCGCGCCAATTTCGCTACTCGAGGACTATTACTAATAGTCCTCTAGTAGCGGAGCCAATTAAAATGCAGGATTTGCATTAGTCCACTAGTTGGATGATACTAATCTACAATCGTGGACAAAAGTCCTTGGGACACTTATGTAATGTAACGAATTATCCGTGTCTTACTTACTTACTGTTTTAGAACTGAAGTTTGAAAAAATCGCTGTTATATCCTTTAAAAACGCGTTGCTGTCCCCCCTCCCCACCCAACACTAGTTTTCAACATTGTATGGGGGGGTGGGGGGCGAGGTTAGGCAGGTGAAGTTGTATTCGCGTCTGGCGTGTGCGCGAAAGCGCCAAATGTGCAAATTTGTCCCAAGACTTGTCCATGATTGTAGCTTAGTAAACAATGATTGTCAGCTTCCCTAAGATGTGAAAGCCATTTTGCAGGTTGCAAAAAATGTCCCTCCTATTCTCCTATGTTAGGTGGTGGTCTTGATCGACACATCAGGCTCAATGGTCAGCAGTATGGATGAACTCAAACGAGAACTGGCCGCGCTTGTCTGGGACCAAATCAGACACCAGGCTACTAAGTAAGTTAACGAATATGCCATTTCTGAGTTGCCTTTTGCCTCTGTGTCAAAACGAGTCTTCGTGCAGAACCATTTATATAAAAATGTGGTTCCCCTACTTTTTCATTTTCTTGCAAATCAAACTCATTTTCATATGTAAGGTTTAGCAAGAGGACGCATTTTGAAACAGAGGCACAAGGTAACTCGGAAATGACCTATTTAGCGTACTGACTCAAACAGAAACCAAAGGGCGATAGTTTTTTGCTAGTAGTTGGGGGNAGTAGAAGAAGTAACATCAACCTAGTTTTGTTTTTTTACCATACTTTTGCTTTGTCTCAATCACATGGAAGTCAGTTATTTGACCCAGTCTTTCACGTTCACCTTCAGGTTCAATCTCATCCGCTTTGCATCGGAGGTGGTTTCATGGAAACCAAGCTTAACGTCGACATCAGATGACAGCTGTCAAGATGCAGTTGAATGGGTTTCGGATTTTGAGGCCAATGGAAGCACGAGTACATTAAGTGCCCTTCAGGTATACTTTAGTTTTTTTTATTTCCTTTGTACTCGGAAAATGGTCAGTTACAAACTAATATAAAATATAAAAAATATACTCACTGTAATAGAACGTGCAGAGATCGACTGTTTTACATGATTGTCGTGTGAGAGCCTAAAAAGGAAACCTGGGCTTTGATGATCTTTATTGAAACCCCCGGAGAATTACTTTCTGTAAGATCCTGAGGCAGAGAATTCCATAAAGCGGCGCCATTATAGGAGAAGCTGCGCTTCAAGTACTCTGTTCAAGGCTAAGTCAGTATAAGTTTGTTAATCAAGTTTCTTCTTTCTCTGTTGAAGTGAAACAAACTATTACGGTCGTAATCTTGACTATGACAATTATTGAGCCCGCGATTTTTGATAAGAATGTTGCTAAGCAACATGACGTATCCTGATGTGCAGACTCTCATTTTGGGTTAAAGGAAGAAATGCACTCTTTTGCTAGTGGTGAGCCTGTTGGACGTGAACAATTGGTTGTCGTCTATAATTCTAAGCTTGATTTAAGATGTTCTAATCTTGTTCTTTCAGCTGGCATTTGAGGATTCAGAAGTGCAAGGGATATATCTCCTCACTGATGGAAAGCCGGTTAGTTCAACAGATCAATGATGTACTCCAGAATGTCCTGAAATAATTAAAGAGCTGCGGCAAATGTTTTGTGGCCGCCGCCCGTTGCGTTTCGTTCGAGATGGTTTTCGCATGTTTTCCCACTCGACTAACCCTGAAAAAATGACTCTTAGTGCACACCATTTTCTTTTCTCTTGTTTAAACATACAACGCGAAGCCTGCCTAAACTGCTCAGGTGGAGTTCATAACTGTGTTGATTTCTCAAGTTGTATAGCTTTCTCCCGCACTTCAAATATATGTTTCATATACTCACTTGCATCTTCGCCATCTACGGGTATACTACAAACTCACAACGTGACCAGCTCCCAGTTGGCTTGATAGTAGATAAAGCACTGCATCAGTATTGTAGAGGTCATGGGTTTGAATCCCCTTCACGCCGGAAATGTTCTCTTAGGGCGTTACTTCACGACTGCGTAAGGTGCTTTCATAAATGTGATTATCTTTCATGTTTTTATTTTATATGTTTCTGATATTCACTTTTCACTGTTAGTCTTATACTATCGGTGACTACGTTGAGGCAGTGTACAGAATTTCGTCAGTACCTCACTGTATTCAGCAGACTTTCGCCTTATTCCAATACGACACTGAGAGAGAAATTTGAATCTAATGGACATTTTTAATTCTGTGGTAGGATAACAGTACGACTATGGTGCTACGGGAGGTAGCGAAGTTAAACTCGGGAAGAAACGTTCGTGTTCACTGCATTTCGTTCAATTGTGACGACAGGTGAGGATTTTTGGTTATACAGGTCACCCTTTCCACTCCTCTTCATCTCCCCTTAGCAATTTTAATTAGCTGACTTGCATTGTATTAAAGCTAAGGACAGACGGCTCCCGTTGTACAGATGACTGCCTTTGAAAACCATTACTAACGTAATTACATTTAGGCCGATAACAACAAATGGAAATAAAGAAATGAGTAAATAAGACCACGTTTTGCTCTTTCTCTTGATTGATGGAAACAAGTAAACTAGCATTTTCATGTTTGCTGTCTGACTGGTTGGAGCAATGATTAGACAGCTTAAAAAACGTGAACCACATCAAACCAAAGCAGCTTATAGTGTTGCAACACTGAAAACTATCTTCTAACATCAACTACAAGTATAAATGTCTAAATACTCAGTACGAGTCGCTTTTATCAACTGTGGTAAAACAAGAATCAGTTATGAGTCTGGTCAACCACGAAGGATACGGACAGTACAGTAAACCCATCAACTATGCAGCTGGCGTAAAGCGCGGGAAAACGAGTGCGAGCCAATCACGATTGGTTTTGGTTTTACTTCTGATTGGTTGAGACAGTGTCACGTGTTTTTTAAACTATTCGTTAAGCGTAGTCGTGCAAAACTAAACCTAATGCGAATTACTGTCGACACTTAGGTCAAAACCGCTCTTTGTGTATGGCGCTTTCCCGTTGACATGTAGTAAGATACTTTGTCTCTCCTGTACCTATTCACGTTCTTACTTATTCTCTTATTCAGTGTGGCCAACAAGTTTCTACAACTGCTGGCTTCTCAGACAGGCGGAAGGTAAGAATAGATGACGCTTTCCTGTAAATTTTGCTCTCAAGACTCTTNGTTGCAACACTGAAAACTATCTTCTAACATCAGTTACAATAATAATAATAATAATAATAATCTTTATTGAGGAAACTTTTTCACGTACATGTGGTTTTCGAAAAGGACCTCAAAGATTAACACTAATTAATAGAACTAAAAATATGAAATTTATAAAACACTGAAGTTAAAAAATTAAAAACCTGTCTCTTAAAAATATTTACATTAGCAGAGTCTCGTATTATCTGGCTGAGAGAATTAAAATGTCTAAATACTCAGTACGAGTCGCTTTTATCAACTGTGGTAAAACCAGAATCAGTTATGACTTTGGTCAACCACAAAGGATACGGACAGTACAGTGAACCGATCAACTATTTTAGTGCTACCCTCTGTAAATAAAGTCTTTACTTACTTACTTACTTATGCAGCTGACGTAAAGCGCGGGAAAGCGAGTGCGAGCCAATCACGATTGGTTTTGGTTTTACTTCTGATTGGTTGCGATAGTGTCACGTGTTTTTTTTAAACCATTCGTTAAGCGTAATCGTGCAAAACTAAACCTAATGCGAATTACTTTCGACACTTAGGTCAAAACCGCTCTTTGTAAATAGCGCTTTCCCGTTAACATGTAGTAAGATATTTTGTCTCTCCTGTACCTATTCACGTTGTTACTTATTTTCTCCTTCAGTGTGGCCAACAAGTTTCTACAACTCCTGGCTTCTCAGACAGGCGGAAGGTAAGAATAGATGACGCTTTCCTGTAAATTTTGCTCTCAAGACTCTTACTACATTCTCCAATAACTGGTCTGTCATGTTTCTTATTATTTTTGTTGCAGGTATCACCGCTGCCAAGGTGATCCGGATGGTCACGTTTTCACTCACAGACTCCTCACTGAAGGCTTTCGGGAAGACGAGGTATATTAACCTACTAATGTAGATATCTTATCACCAACGGCTGAAAAATTTAGCGTACCCGCTGTAAGTTCTCCTTTTGTAGCTGACACGAAGATCTTTGGGAATTTAAGGAGAATTATACATTGCCTGAATCAAATTCTCGTGTGAATAAGTCACTATCATTGGTGATGGTATTTTTTTTATGATATTTCTAATATACGTCGATATATTTGTTCATTCAGCCACTCAGCATGCCTGTCTTTGAAGGAGATGACCTCCGTAGACTAGCAAGTGAAATAGCTCTGTGCAGGAAGTTCCTTTTGCAGTCCAGGTCATACAGGTAACCAAGCGTTACCGTTATTAGAATCTTGTATAAGATATCGTTTTGTGGGGGATTTCTTCCCTGCAGGTTTGATGTTATCAACCCAGACTTTTGCATTGTACGTTTGTTGACGCTTTTCTGATGTACTTTTTTTGACAGGGCGTTGTTTCCTGAAAACACGAGGCAAGGAAAATCTGAAAAGTTAAATGGTAAGTAATATTAATTAATATTCAATTTTAAACTTTGTAAATTTTTAAATCTTTAATACTGTAATTAATTTTAGACTCCTTTCCCATTTTGTTTATTCATTTTAATTGACGTATTTTTATCTTTTTTATTCCTTTTGTAACTGAAAAGCCCCTTTGGGGAGTTGCAAATAAAGTATGTATGTATGTATGTATATCAAACACAAAAGACCGTGTTTGACCACATTTCCAAACACCGAGAAGAAAGTTGAAAATACGACGCGTAGCGGAGTATTTTTGACGAACTTTGAGGTGTTTGGAAATGTTGTCAAACACTGTCTTGAGTATTCGATATATTTTGTCAATCGAAACTAGAACTGAGAAGAAAATGGAGAAATAAAATCGTAGGAATCTATGCAATTAAGATCAGATATCCAAACACTGTCACGGTCATGATATTTCTTTGCTTAAACTTGATGAAATAATAATGAGTTTGGGAAGTTAACGTAACTCTCTTTACTCGGACTTTTAAAATTCCTTCATAAAACAGATATCGCCTCACTTTCGGAAGCCGCGAGAGAGATGTATATGAACTTAGAACCTAAGAGTTTCATCTACGTATAGTGTCTCTAATTGGTTCAAGCAGTGAAGCATCAGGTCCTTCACTGATCTCTTAAGGGCCCATTAACCGATCTTTTCGAGTCGTTGCTAAGGAAAATTTAGTCTCATATGACCTCATCATTTTTAGTTAGTTCAGAGGTATTTCATGTGTTTCAACTTTTTCATGATCAGTAACAATAGTGATGACGTCATCAGGCCACGCCCATGGTCATGTGACTAATACAGAAAAAA